GACGGGTCGAATCTTGCTGTTGTTTCTAGGATACGGATTGATTGATTAGTTCCAGAATAAAGATTTATTATATGTATTTTTATGTAAACTTAGAAAATCTAAAACCTGTTAAAATCATTCCGCTTTTTGTTTACCCGACCTCGAAACACAATGAAGAAAGTCCTTCCATAACAATCTCGTCCACTATGACAGTAAGTAATACAACCATAAGCAAGACCGATGTTAAGAAAGCGATTACATCTAAGGAGTGATACTGGAAGAAGTTCAGCTTGTTCCCCGCTGGCTCAAGATTCTCAAGTGTCTGGAATTCGCGGCAAATTCGGACCATTTCACCACAAGTTGGGCGGGGCTAACCGGTTGACGCTTGGTCATTTGTGACAGCCGTTCGGCTCGTTTTTTGTACCTGAAAATACCTTGTTCTTGCTGCAGGCTGCAATTCTGTGGGTATGGGAACTCACTTCCGGATTTGTAAGGACTTCCTGAATCGCAGCTGATAGAGCGGAAACTGTCAGCTCAGCCTTGTGCAGAACAAGTCCGAAACCATGGTGTTCGGCCAGGCGTGCATTCTTCGGCTGATCGCCGAAAAGTGGAATGGTGATCAATGGTACACCAGTGAGAATAGCTTCCTGTAAAGAGATTCCATTTCGACTGTTTTGACACACTGCGCACCGCGTGCGCCACCATGTGGTGCACGATCTCAAGCGAAACAAGTAATAATAAATAATAAAATAATAATAATCAATAATAAACAGCATTGTTTATCTGATTTATTTGGCATTTTTCAATGCTCTGAACTGCTTGCACTCATTTTCAGAGCCGGGAAACCATACGTATCATCACTGGTAAATTGTTGATAGATTAATGATGGGCCATCTTCAAAAACAAAATAAAATGGTGAAGAGACACTCATACAACGGGCAGTTAGGAATGTGTTAGGGGAGGGCTATGTGACAACTTGAACTTTCCTCCCTGTTCTTTGTCGCGAAAAGCTAGAGCGCAGACGGGTAGAGGTCAATTGCGATTTCAGCTCTGAACATTGCTAAACTCTCTGTGATTAGTTGGTAATGCAGGGGAACAGGGGGTGAGGAATGCCATATTACGTGAGAAAAGTCTGAGTTCACAGTCGACACGAACGATTTAGAGAAGAGAGCGTTAACAAGAGCAACACCCTGATGCTTTTTAATAGCCTGAGTTTGAGTAGCCCATGGACCATTTCAAAAAATTGAAGTCAGAAAATTTGGAAGGATTGAGAAATACTGTACATAATATGTCAAATCACGTAAATCAAGTAATTTTCACAAGAATTCTGAGTTATGGGCAAACAGTCGTCCAAGGCGGAAACCGAACTCGCACCTCTAGCTTTTCGGACTTTTGTGCTATCGATCACACTACCCATCACATATTCCATCTTAAGAAAATTTGCCCACAACTCAGAATACTTACGAGACATTGCCAACACGAAGCGGCATCAAAGGAGGAATCCACGATAATGTAGAAGGTCGAAGAAGGGGAAACTTACCTAATGGAAAGACGGGCGGACACGACGGATATGCTCCGGTGATCTATCAGCACGGCCCTCCCCGCGACGCTATCGGCGCGGCACGCCCACAACTGGCTAACCACTCGCCGCAGGTCTAGCCGTTCAGCAGAGAGAGCGTTAGCGTTGAAGAGGGCAGCACCGATGAGAGTCGCATCAATGCGAAAATCAACGGGCGAGGAGGCCCTACCCAATCTGGGGTACCCCCAGGAGGCCCGTCGCGCGGCAAGAAGGCAGAGTCGGCGGACGAGTTGCAGCGCGTGATGTGCGATGTAGGACGTGCAATGGGACATTCTATTTAACTTGACGCGAAATCCCTATAGTACGCGCGCGACTCGTCCGCTGACTTTGCCTTCTTGCCGCGCGACGGGCCTCCTGGGGGGTACCCAATCTGATGGACTGCCTTCTAATCGTGAATTCCACTTTTGAAACGGCAATAAACAAACAAATAAAATAACAACAAAAGTCGAATATTTTTGTTCTTCAAAGGACTAGAGCCCACTTGAAAACTATTGTATCCTCCATGGGTAATGAGAGCCTTAGTTCTAGGATGATTGAGAATATCAGTTTGAGGAAACCATTTGAATAAATGCACATTCGAGGAGAGATTTCCTGAAAATTGATTGTATAGGAAACTTCAAAGCAGATTCAAAAAATGACCAAGATGCCACAATTTGAAATATAAAGATATTCCACTTCTTCTTACTTCAAGCAATGCTCAGGTTTGGCACACATTACTAAGGAATGCCTCAGTTGCCCAGCTCTCACCTTTTTGTAGGACGGGCAGTGGTGAGCATCGGAACGTGGCTGGGAATTCCGTGGTTGCTTTCAGCACAAAACTGCTGTCGCTACGGGCGGAGACCACTTCAGGGTTAAACCAAGCACGCATTATAGGCGAAAACAAAACCCAGTGAAATTGGGGGCTTGTCGCATCCCAGACGCGCAGACTAACACGCCACCACACGCTCCTTCATCAGTACGAATGCAACATGGCCATTTTATTGTTAGTAAGGCTCAACTTGTTTTATTTACCTACTGACAGTTCTCACCTCTGATGTCGTCGCTCTCATATCTCACCAAGAACTGATAGTTAGGGAACCGTTTGAACGTTTCCAAAAAGACCATCTTCCATTCCATAGGCATCCTATAAGCAACGGCAACTGAACCAAACGACAACACTATTGCTCCATCTCCTCTTCCCATAATTTCTTCGATGTTCTGAATAACACTTCTAAAGTGAAGTTTATGTAAAAGCGTGAAGAAAAACTCGCCCGAAACCTTAGGAAGCGGCTTCACATCCCGGGATTCCATGCCCAGACCACCGATGTTCACCACTTTGGCAAGCGTCGGACGAGGAATCTCATAGAGATCGTTGGTGTTTGCCATGACCTAAAAAGATTTTTAACCAAAGACAGGCAGCAAATGGACCTTCCTCCGCAAGTTGTTTTCTCATTTTACGGTATTACTCACAACTGGGCATTTGGCGGCTAAATCTAGCAGATCTGGAAAATCGGGACTGATCAGTCGGCGAAAAACTTCCGTTTCAGGATCAGCCACCATTCTGGAAAGATGACTAGGATGAGCAAGAAAAGATATACCGTTCAGTGGAGGGGCTATTCGTGGTGAATCACATCTAGGGTGGTCATGGATGGAGGGCGGTGCAATTTCGATGACGTCACTGAACGTCATTGGTGGGTTAAACTCCTCACAAGGGGGGGGGTCTTTCAGGGCAAGCCGCGCTTTTTCAAAACGGTTTCTTGCATATTGTAGGGACGCATGTAGGGAACACAAAACCATGTTTCATTTTCGCTGAACGGTTTTAGCAGTACCAAAAAAGAAGCATAAGGTACTGTTAATGGTTCGATCCCCCGTGGCGACTAAATTTTGGGTTGGTGCCAAATCGCGCTAAATGTCAAAATCAGATGTCATATTCATCGTCAGGACCATTTTGAAGCCAACAAGTGGCCGCCAACCTTGATTGCAAAATTTAGTCGCCGCGGGGGATCGAACCATCAAGAGTATTATTCACCACTTTTTTGGTACTACTAAAACCGTTCAGCGAAAACGAAACATGGTTTTGTGGTCCATACATGCGTCCCTACAATATGCACGAAACCGTTTCCAAAAAGCGCACCAGCCCTGAAAGCCCTCCTTGTCAGCGCGGTGTGGGTATACTTAGAACCGGCTCTAGCGCCTTTCCACTAGTGACTTTCAATGATGTCATCAAAATCGCGACGCCCTTCAGCCATCGTGACCCTGCCTACAAAATTTCCATAGCGAAACCTGTGTGGCCTGTCAAAATTGGGGGGTACGATCAGGATTTCGGGTACGGCAGCGCTCGCACACCAAATCATTACGTGAGCGACAGTCTGATCAATCATAAGTTTACCGCCTTCAGCAAAGCGCCACGTTTCTCGCGACGGAGCTGTAGGAAATGACGATGGGAAAGTGAGCTCAAAATCGGGGTCCGTTTCGAACGACACTTGCCGATAAAGTCAACTGAGAAAAAACCTGGAAAACATGTATGTTGCAAGCCAACCTTCCGGAAAGAACCCAAGTGATCAGTCAACTGCTAGGGGCGTTTAGCTGCTGCAAAGTGTCCAAGTCGCTAGCGAATGGTTTTCGGTGTACATCGAAACACCCCGTCTTTATCCCCTTCTCTATCTTTTTCTTATTTTTATGTCAGAATTACTGGTTTTAATGCAGATAATTGGAAACATAGCAATTTTACAAATACCTTCTCCACAGCAGTTTCATAAGCCCGTGACCAATGAAGCTCTTCGTTCTTTCGATGAAATTCATCTCACCAGCCTTTTCCATGAACATTGCTAAAACTGGTCAGAGTAACGTATTTCAAAATCCTTGACAGTGGTTGAAATCTGTTTAGCCCACACAGACGCATCCCGATGGTACCTGGAAACCCCTCATCAAGGTTTACAGTTTGGGTATCTGAATTACGTGAAACGAATGAATTTCAGTTCTTGGTAGTACGTAGTGCATAACCTTGTTCAGTTTTCAATGAGCCGTTGAAGGAAGTTGCTCGAATGTTGATGCGGAAAAAGGGTAAGAAGGTATCTTGAAGTACTTTCGCACCAGCAAATGTCAAGACCCAGAAAATAGGCAGTGCAACCGGTGCAGCTATC